TTTTCCACAACTGCCGCCTCCTCCAGCTCCACAGCAAGGCCCAAAAGCCAAGTACAACTGACAGCCGCCGTATAAAGTGCAGGGAGAGCTGCAGAGCTCGTGTCAGCTTCGCTGTGTGTTTGCGCTGAATGGAGCAGGAGGGTGCATGGAGGGGCAGCAGGTACAGCAGAGGGCACCGAGCGGAGCACAAACCCGTGTGTTTGCAAGACCCATGGTCAGGCATTTCTCTCTTCTTCCCTTCTCTACCAGTAAAATTCGGAGAGAGACATATTTTAATGACAGTTTGCTGAAATGTGCGCTCCCTGCTGATTTGACATTGGGCAGAAAAAGTGTCTACAGAATCAATTTTTAATAAATGTAAACAACTAAATTATGAATGACAAAAAGATCACTGAACAGTTAAATATTAATCACATAATTACTTAAATTAATACTTTTAGTGCAATGTTGTGATAGAGAGTTTTACTTAGGTGGTGTCGCTGCGCTGGCTGGGTGGGTGTGGGGGGCACAGGGCCACAGCAGCCACCCTGGCAGTGGGGAGCAGCCCCGGCTGCTGGCTGTCCCACAGATCCCACCGTGCTGGCTGCTCCTCTTAAAGCCTCTGGAACCAATTTATTAAGGACTTACATTTCCTGTTCAAAACGGGAGCTGTCAAGAAAATGGCTAAACTGGCCCCAAACCAGAAAATGAGCCCCTGCCCCCAAAACTCTTCTGTCCCAGTGTGCCCATAAACCCCCCAGCAGTGGGTGTATGATGTGCAGGGCTGTGGCTGTGCTCGGTGCTGATCTTGGGAAGGCTGAGGGAGCTGCAGAGGGAGCTGGGGGTGCAAAAAGCCCTGGCTGCTTCTAAGATGAAGTTGGGTGAGTTTATGAAAGAGGTGGTGTGCCGCGAGGTTGGGGGCTGGATTCACTGCCCTGCGGGCCCCCTCTTGTGTTCCTGTCTCTACAGGTGCTGCAGGGAGCTCGTGTGGTGGAAAACTGGTCGCCAGCGTTAACGGGGGAGATGGTAGCAGCAGCCATCTGTAGGTGCTTGCATGCAGCACGCAGCTTCCTCAAGAAACTAAGAGAAGAATTTACTGGCGCTCTTGTCCTTGTGGGTTGGCTGGCTGCATTGTTTGTTTTTAATCTAATAAAAGGAGATCTTAATATCATAGTAAAATCGGTACAAAGCTAGAAACTCGCCCCTTGGCGTTTTGGCGAAACATTATTGAAAATGTAGAAGCCTTTAGCAGAAACAACAGAAGCAAAAAGAAATTGTAGAACTAGGATCAACAGGTTGTGTTCTAGATGTTGGGAGGCATGGGCAAGAGCAGCCAGCCAGAGCTCAAGGTGCCAGCAAGACCTGCTAAGCCGGAGGCCTGACGCCAGCCCCGTTGTGGCTCTGCTCCGCAGGGACATGATGCCGCAGTGGCCGGGAGCAGGGGCCCTGTGAAGATTGGGTGGGCAGCACTGTGGAGTGGTGGCTGGGCAGTAGGGAAGAGCACATTGCCAGGAGGACAGGAGCAATGGAGAAGGAGAAACGGACGGCTGGGAAGAGCCATGCACTGGGAAGATGGTATGAGTATAGCGGGACCTGGCCAGGGAGGTGGAGGCAATGGAAAGGCAAACTTGCCATCCTTAGGATTGATCTGGATTGATCCTGGCTCAGTCTGCTCCTTGTCTGGAAATTAAATCTGGCACAGAAATGTTAAGAGTGTTTTTAAATTAGTAAGTGAAGCATCTCTTGCAAAAGGTGGGAACGCTGAAGAAGCGGTCATGCTCAGACTCAGCTGTCGCTGTAGGATCCAAGTGCAGCTGGTTTGGCCTCATCTCTTGTTTTCCAGTGCCTTCCACCTCTTCACGAACATCACTAGGAAGCACTGTTCCCATGTGCCTTAAACAAGTGCTTCCGGAAAATGCTATTACCCACCTTGTCCACCAGTACAGTACTGGACACCATGGCCAATCATAAAAACAACCATTTTTGGGGTGACCACTGCTCGAGCTGAGAGCTGTAGCTGCTCGCCACAACTTTAACTCACATTACATGGCGGGGTGCTGGAGGGAGCAGCTTAGGACTGGTACCTAATCAACAAGTTTACGCCCTGCAAAACCATTCCCATCTCCTTGCACTTGCTGACTGCCTGACAGCTCGTGCGCATTTTGCTTCCACACTTCTGTGTGCAGCATATTGTTCTGTCCACTCAAGACCCATTCACTGAGCACATCAGGTCCCAGTGGGGCTTATGGAGCTGCCCCTGGTCACTGTGCTCTTTTCTATGGCTTCACATCTGATGAGTAAACCTGTGAGGCGAATTTTCCTTTTGAAGCTGCCATTTGAGTTCACTTCGTGCTCTCATAGCGTTACGTTTTCTGATGGACTTTCTACAGGTACGGTTCATAGTGGCAAGAAGGGAGAAGCAGGAGCGCTTTCCACACACAGTGTTACAACATGCTGCAGTGAAGTTGGTTCCTGGAACATAGCAGCCCCCTAAAACGTCAAATAAATCCTTAAACTATTCATCACTCTGTTTTTGGGGTGGCAGTTAAGTCTTTCAACACTCTGCAAGTTTCTTTCCCCAGCAGTAATTTCACTGGTGAAGAAATACAGCTCAGGGCACTCCACAAAGGCCTCAAAATTCATGTTTTGTTTTCATTACCAGAAAAATGCTTCACTACATTAAAGAGTGGCCCATTAAAATTTTGTACCCTGTCTTCCCTGCGCCCTGCCGTTGTTGGCAAACCTTCACCCATACGCGCGGCAGAGCTGAACAGCAGCCGGCGTGTTGCTTTTGCAGACTTCAAAGAGAAAGGGCAGCGAAGGGGAGGAGGGTTAAGCCACTGCCCAGCTTGTTTAGGTGTAAGATCTCAAAACTTTCAATAGCCACGCAAGTTTACTCAATAAATGTACTGTACTGAACCTTAAGCTGCTCTATCAGTGTTTCCTCATTCAGTCTAACCCAGCACAGCACACTGGCTCATGTGCATGTCTAAGAAAATAAATTAACTGTCTGGTTCCTGGAATAAAATTTAACACTGTACAAAGCAATATATTTAACGGTCTCAGGCAAATAGCCCCAAAATAACAACAAAAAAGATAATAATGAATTACTGGAGGCTTACCGAACCTTTGGATTATATAAATTAAATGTTGCAGCGTGAACTGGATGGTGTTTTCTGATACCATTGAAAAGCTAGAGGTTGAAGAAAAACAGTAAACATATTATAATTAGAGTTTAGGGGAGCATTTGGTTATTCTTATAAGTAATTCAGACTAGCTGAATGTGGACACGGACACGAGAGCAGGAGTAAAACCTGGAGCTTGCTTAAGAGGGCAGAAAGGTTTTTAGCTGAATTCAGTGGGAACTTGCTAAGTCCAGTTTTATTTAATATCTCCACAGTTAATTTAGAAATAAACAGCACGTTAATTAAATTTACAACTAAATCAGCAAGTTAGAAGATCAGACCGAGGTGCAGCTGTGGAAAGCAAATCTCATCGTGTTGCATGAACCCACAACGCAAAGCAAGCGGCGCGGGGCGCAGCTGGAAGCACCAGCACTGCGGGTGGTGGCGGGGGAGCGAACCTGCCCCTTCCCATCGCCGGGGTGGGCACGCGCCTTCGCCAGCCAGGCTGTGATCTCTCGCATCCGCTCCCCTCGCTGCCGGGCCAGAAAGCTTGGGGTGGGGTGGTGGTGGTGCTGGAAGGAGGGAGGCAGCGAGGCTGCGGCTGCAGCGTTCGCCAGCAGTGCCGGCCATTGCCTTTGGCAGGGTTTGATGAGCTCGTTACCCACAGCAGGGGAAAGCCCTGCCCTGGTCTCGGCGAGGGACGGGGGGGATTGCATGGCCGAGTCGAAGGGACAGCTCGACAGTGAAATGCAGCAGGCTGTGGGACAGCCTCTCTGGGAAATGGAGGAGTCCTCACTGGCAGGGTTATTTAAGACTTGACTTTGAAACACGAGACACTCTGCAGTTGGGAACAATGCTGCACTGTCAGAGAGATGGACTCAATTACTTAATAGGTCGTTGCTGTCTGTCTCCTGCGATTTTCCTTTCAAGAACATATATTCAGCTGGGTTATTTCTCATGGGAAGACAAAGCGTTCTGAGAGAAGCCAGGCATTTGGAGGGGAGAGGCAGGAGGAATGTCAGCCAGGCAGATGCCTGGTTTGCTTTCTGCAGAGCATGCTCCTCAGGACATGGAGAAAGCTGGAGTGATGTAGCCGATGTGGTATTTTGGTCCTGTAACCAGCTGATCCCTGTGTCTCATGGGTCTCGCTTCCTTTCCTTTGCTCACAAGAGATTTGCCATGTTGCTTGCTTCTGCCAAACTCTGATCCCCAGGAGTGCGGGTGGTGGGACTGTGGTCCCACAGGCAGCACTGCAGATGCTGCATGGGGCATTGGTTGCTGGTTTGCCAAAACATTCAGCGTTGGATGGCCACTTATCCAGCGCTGACAGGTCCAAACAGCTCATCTCGGTGTATGGGCAGCCTCTCTTCTAGCATGGAAAGGCTTTGATGGTGTGTGATCAAAATGACAGCCAAGCTGGAGGGAGGAAAAGCTCATGGCCAGGAACCCATCTCCGAGTAACCATTCGGTTCTCCATTAGCAGGACATGGTGGACACAGATCTATAACGAAGCCAGTGACGCATATTCTCACCAGAATTACTCTGCCAGCGTTTCACAGGCACTTTCCTTGTTGGGGTCGTGGGCTTCATTCGCAGCCCTGATTCGGGGCAGCGGAAGCTGAGCGCCAGGGCAGCTGCGGGGCTCTCACTGCTGGTGTGCGCGCCTGCGTCTGCACGAGCACACGCACCTTGCATGCCGTGCGTCGTGCGCGTGAGCGTGGAGGTGCGCACACATGTCTGAGGCATCTGTGTGCACTTGTTTGTCACCAAATTAAGATGCTGCGTTATCTTACGCACATTGAATTGATGCAGCTAAATTGGCTGGATGTTCTTAAGCCCTGAGGATGTAATGAGATTTTTGTCTCTTGCCCATTTGTTTTTCTTTTCTTTTTTCAGAATAAGTCGTCTGTTTAATGGCACAGAGCCTATTGTCTTGGACAGTTTAAAACAACATTATTTCATTGATCGAGATGGTGAAATTTTCAGATATATATTAAGCTTCCTAAGGACATCTAAGCTACTGCTCCCAGATGACTTTAAGGTAAGGAAAGCTATAGTCTACAATCCATTTTTTCCTCCCATTCTGTCATTTGTTTTGGTGCAGGTTGGTTAGTGTACTTGACCTAAATGCACTTAACTAAATGTTGCTGTTTATTGTTAGGATTTTTAGTACTTGTGTATTACACCAGGGATGCTATTATTTAATAATGGACCAATGGTTGTCATGGATACCATAAAAAGTTAAATGATGAAGCTTACGGCTAAATCAGTTTTTCTAAACTAATTGTATTTTCTCACATTTTTAGCTTATTTATCAGGGTATAACAACAATTAAGAAGCAACATCAGCAGCTAGCGCTTACCAGGGTTTAATGCTCAGAATCTGAAAGAAATGTTTTGAATTCGATACTTCGAGGACTTAAATTGTATAAATCTTTTTCTTGTTGGTATAAAAAAGAAACATCCTTAAACAAACCCATGAGGATTTGTGTTAGATAGAACCAATGTAGATACTTTGATTTTAGGAAGCAATCTTTTACACACTTTATGAATGTCAAAGTATTCTTGGGAGATGGAATTTACTGAGGGCTTTTTAAGGAGCAATACATGTTTTCTATGAAGTAATGGCACTGGTGGTTGCTTTGCCCATCCTGATTGTTTAAATGTTCTCCTCCTAGCCTTGTTTGTTTGGCTTTGCACTTACAAAACTTGCAACATTGTCATCCTTATGTATGAAAATTAGAAGACAAAAGTGTCCAAACTGTAGATGGCAAGATTCAACAAAAGCACTAACTCCAGGATGAAATGATGAATAAATTGGGATGGCAACAGGGATCTGCTCAGAGCTAGAGGACGGTGGAGCATTGCTGGAGAGGAAAGTTCCTGCGCTGTGCAGTAAGATTTCACTTTGCATGTTGGACTAGGTAGGCAAGATAATTTGGCCAGTCATTATTGAGTCAGTCCAGATTTGTGGTTGCTGTGGTGGCTTTAGCTTTGGAGTACAGCTGATCCCCATGCTGCAAACCGCTTCTCAGCCGTTCTTGCCTAAGTTACGAGGGTAATTGTATTTGACCTGATGTGGGAGCGTTTACAGTTAATGTTGAGCAGAGGTGCTGTGTGATGGGAGCACACATCTAGTCCCAAGGTAGGGAGAAGTTTTGGCATTCACGTGTGGTTTTGAGCTCCAGCCCAGAAGGGCTGTCCTGAGCACTGGTCTTTCTGGGGAGCAGTGGGCAGGTCGGGGAGGCTGGCCTGCAGGTTGGGGTGCCGTGAAGCAGGGCAAGAGGCAGACCATTAAGGAGTGGAAGGGAGAAAATGAGAAATGAGAGAAGACATCCAGGAAGGAGTGAAGCTAATGACTAGACCAGTTCTGTGGATTGTTTAAGATGGATCAAGTAAAAGGGGGTGGATGGAGAAGCAGTACAGGTGAAATTCCAGCGATGCTTTAGCGGCAGCGTTTTGGACAATCTGGTGGGGCAAGAAGTGAGAAGTGAGGGTAGAAGAGATGTAGTTTGAGCTGATCATGGCCTCAACCGGCATCCGGATTTCAGAGGTGCTGTGAAACAAAACCAGCAGGATTTGGTAAGAGCTGGAGGTGAGAGTGCTGATGGATGCCAAGGACTTGTCTGCACAGCGAGCCTCTGGCAGGGCTGGGAGAGACTCAGGAGAGCCGGCGCTGTGCCCGGGCTCAGTCCGTTGTTCCAGACCATCTCTTTGCATAGGGTTAACTGTATTTTATTTAGTTCCTCCCTGGGAGAGATTTGGAGCAAACCCCAGGCTAATGAGGGCTCAAGAACAAAGAAAAGTATTGCTAGGTAGGGAGTAACTAAATAAAAATGCATAGAAGAATGTGCTGCAAAGCTATATTAAAACTGCATTGTAAACGGATTTGACTTCACAGAAATCGTGTAATTTTACCAGCATGATTAAAGTGACAGAAGACAATAATCAAAGGCAGCAAATGGAATCACTCAGAGTTTCTAAATGCAAAACTCTATTTAAGGTATAAAACCTGACAGGTTTTCCAGTGAGACTTGCATTAAATGTTCTTTATGTCAAACAAAGCATTATCAAGTGTTTTGAATATTTATTAGTTTTTACCCCTTAATTTAATCAAGCAGTTTATTAGCCTCAAGGTTTAGCCAAGTTGCTTTTCAACTTGAATTGCTGCTCAGATAGTTATTTTGGAAAGTTTGGAATGTTAGTACCGCACCAGTGTTACTGTGTTTGCTATTTAAGTGTTGTTTTCAGACTAAGTTAACACTGACATGCAGAGAAAGTGGGGTATGTGTTCCTAGGCTAGTGATTCTTTATTACCAAGTCTGACTGGTGTGTTTACACTGAATATTAATTATACTTCCAACTACTAATAAGCCAAAACTTGAAAGTGTTTAGTATCTGACAGGTCTCTCTGCTGAAAGCAACACTCTTAATAGTTCATATAATTTTCCTGGGTTTGGGGGATTTTAAGCCACATGAAGTATGCTGAGAAATTACTGTGAGTTGTTGGGCTCAGTTCTCCTTCGCAGCCACCCTGTGCTGGGTGAGGTGACGGCGAGCAGCTGGGAGCTGCTTACAGCTCCTTCTCCTGCACCAGTTCAGAGCGGGGCCATGCCACCTTGCGCAACAAATGACCTCGAGCAGAGCATGGAGCCAGCACCGCCTGGTCTGCCACGCTGCTGGGTTAGGGGATGGCTGGTACAGGAGCTGCCCCTCGTCTGGAGCCCAAATAGTCTCTGCTTCGATCCCGCCCCGCCATCAGAGGTGTTTCCCCAGGACACTTACGAGCAGCATCTCTCCCTTTCACTGCCAATACAAAACTTCATGCAAAACCAGGACCCATTGTACCTACTTATTTGAGACTCACTCCCTGCTTAGAGATCTTCAAACAAAAATAGACGTAGGCAATGTGTATATTATTACTCCGTCTTAAGGAAGGGAGGAGCACGAATGCACAGGACATGAGAGTTTTGTATGGATTATAGAGGTCACCTGTAGCACCGGAACCACAAGGCTGGCACGCTAATCTATTAATATCATTTTTAAATTAGTGCTTGCATCTAATTTAAGTGTTCTCAAACTGACCTTAGTAAATGGCACAGTTGTCCTAGAAGTGAGCAACTTTCTCTCGTAGCCAGGAGTCAGATCTTCACAGCACTAAAATATAAAAGAAACATTGAGTCAAGATGACAGTTTGTTGTTTCACGTAAACAAAGAATAACATGTGAAAAATGGGCAGAAAGAGCCATTTCAGCCTCTTCAGGAGTCAACATTAGGTACAAAAGCAAAGGACCTCTGTAGTACTGAAGAGGACAGCATCAGGCTCACAGGAGACATGGTTTCGCAGTTTCTGTTGGCTGTCTCTGCCTGTCGCTAGCAGATCTTTACTGACCCACTGGCACTGATACCAAAACAGCAGCACAACTGGCCTTGCAGTCACGCTTCCCGTCTCCTCCCCAGGAAGATGGCACCCTTGCCAGAGGTGACTGCAGAATTTAGCCAACGTGAAATCCACCAGAAAAAAAGCTTTTCCGTTGAATCACGAGCAGAAGATTATTTTATGAAAGGCACAATCTGTGTCTTTGAAAGATCTGTTTACCTTTCCTATGAGGTGTAAATGTTGTCTAAAAGTTGTGGATGGAGAAAGGCTGTGTGCATCCCACCTGGCTATCTGCTCCCTCTTCCAGGTGACCTGACAGAACTTCCCTACTAGTTCCTACAGCAGCCATAAGAAGTTGAAGGCTCATAGTAGCTCATGAAGGCTTTTTGTGCTACTTTACAGCAAAATCAGAGGCCAAACTGTCCATCTCCCCTTTCAGTCTCCCTTTCAGAGAGGGTGCAATATCTGTAGGCATTTATCAGCACATGCCTGGCACAGAAGCTGTACCAGGCTGCTCGGAGGCTGAATTTCAATGAAGCAGTGTGCACGTTGCCGCTGTGCTAGGCAGTTAACACCCCGTAGCAACTCCTGTGCCTGTTTCAGTGCAATGTGCCACTTCTGGATAGGTTTAGGAAGATGCGTATCTGCATCTGCATTTGGTAACTTCTCAAAATGAGCAGCATGGAAATGTTTTCTTGCAGCTCCTATGGCACCTCCCTGGGTGAGGTCCCTTGTGAGTCAAATTTCTCTATTTGACATTTCATGTTAAACTTTTGCAAATCATCAGGGCAGGATTTTACATTTACAGTGTGAGGGTGGAAACACCTATGTCGGTATTACCTGGGCATACTGAGCATCGTGTGTAGACAATCCAGAGCTGGGCATCGCTTCCAGTCCAGTCGCAGCCACACAGTACTCCGAAAGGTGTATAAAACCTGCACAAGAAGATCGTGGACTCAGCGGTGTGTCGAGTCCATTACCCTGCCCAAGCACAGGCTTTAGAGAACTGGACCCCCATGCTGTGAGCCATTCATTCTTTGTTCCTGGTTTTGACAAATCCTTTTCCCTCCCTAAATACGTTGTCAAATTTCTTAGTGGTGCCCAAGTCAGTGCAGAAATGCCAGATTTCTCGTTACAGGAGCCAGAGCAGGTCAGGGCGGTGGGGCAGGCTGTGCTGGTGGTGGCTGGTCGGGGGCACCTTGCAAGTACACGGAGTGTGGGGATCACAGAAGTTGTCCCTTCCCAGCACCATCACTGGTGGACAGCCATGAATTTTCTCTTGCTGTTCCTAACAGAAGACACATTTTTATCCCTGTGGTGAGTTGACCCTGGCTGGATACCAGGTGCCCACAAAAGCCACTCTATCACTCCCCTCCTCATCTGGACGGGGGAGAGAAAATATAGCAAAAGGCTTGTGGGTCAAGAGAAGGACAGGGAGAGATCACTCACCAGTTACTGTCATGGGCAAAACAGACTTGACATGGGGAAATTAGTTTAATTTATTACCAATCAAATCAGAGTAGGATAATGAGAAATAAAACCAAACCTTAAAACCCCTCCCTTCTTCCCAGGCTCACCTTCACTCCCAATTTCTTTACCACCTCCCCACAGCAGCGCAGGGCGACGGGGAATGGGGGTTGTGGTCAGTTCATCACACGTCGTCTCTGCCGCTCCTTCCTCTGCAGGGGGAGGACTTCTCATACTCTTCCCGGGCTCCAGTGTCTCCCACGGGAGACAGTTCTTCACAAACTTTTCCAGCCTGGGTCCCTCCACGGAGTGCTGTCCTTCAGGAGCAGAGGTCACAAGCCCTGCCAGCAATCCTCGAGTGTGGGCTCCCCTTTCCATGGGGCCACAGGTCCTGCTGGGAGCCTGCCCCAGTGTGGGGCTCCCACAGGGTCACAGCCTCCTTTGGGCATCCCCCTGCTCCAGCGTGGGGTCCTCCCTGGGCTGCAGGGGCACAGCCGGCCTCACCATGGGCTTCCCCAGGGGCTGCCGGGGAACCTCTGCTCCAGCACCTGGAGCCCCTCCTGCCCCTCCTTCTGCCCTGACCTGGGTGTCGGCAGAGCTGTTGCTCTCACATGTTCTCTGTCCTCTCTTCGGCTGCAATTGCAGAGTTGTTTTCCCCCTTAACAACTCCGTTCCCCCTGAGGCGCTGCCACCGTTGCTGATGGGCTCAGCCTTGGCCAGCAGCAGGTCCATCTTGGAGCCAGCTGGCACTGGCTCTGTGGGACACAGGGGAAGCTTCTGGCAGCTTCTCGCAGAAGCCACCCCTGTAGCCACCGCTACCAAAGCCTTGCCACGCAAACCTGGTATAATCCTCTCTAGCGGTTACAGCACAACAAACTCCCTGCGCCGCCACTGCCCGGTAGCAGGTGCCAGGCTCCCGGTGCCGCACACGCGTGTCGCCTCTTCGCACCAGCACGCCTCCGATTCCCGGCTTCCGTTACAGACCCCTTCCTTCAGGTGCACAAGCCTTCCCGGCATATTTGTGCTCACCCCAGGTGCGGAACGGACATGGAGATGAGTGTCTTACTTTAAAAACTAACCCAAGAACCTTGGCTTAACCCAGGCAGTTTACGACTGGGGGCATCCAGCGGAGCACGCGGTGCTCCAGTACAGCTCTGGTTTCCACATGGCTGTCTGAAGCACGGCTGTGTTCTGGGAACAGTAGTGGAAGAGCTGCTTCATCCGAAAACTAGTTGTCTTATCACAAAATGGTATCAGAATATAAAATGTATCCTGTTTATTTAGGACACATGCTGGTTAGCAGGCATCACCAAAGACTTGCATTTGATGCAGTGGGCATGGCTGTGGGGGAGGTAGAGGTGGTGTGATCCTGGTTTTGTTTGCTTTATGGCATTACTGTTTTAGCCCGGGGGTGCTGGGCCATTGAACTCGGGTGATTCTGGATACTGTCAGCCTAGTCCAAAGCCCAGTGAAGTCAGTCAAAAAGACTCTCATGAATGTAATGGGCTTTGTATCCAGCCTCAGGAGCTCTGTACCTCTCTTTACTTTCAGAAATTGACTTGTTTTTATATGGCTGTACCACCTCTTCTGGGCTTTACTGTTGAGTTTTCTTAGCACATACTCAACTGATCTACCTTACAAATAATATGTTATTTTATAGTGACCACGGACACAGATATTCTAAAACTGGTTCTTCAGGACCTCTTGAAAACAGCGGGAGACTTTCCATTACCTTCAGTAAGCACTGGATGCTCCTGTTCACTCTACAGCGTTACACTACATTTTTCCTTAGCATTGCATGTTTTCCTTTGCTCAAAAAGAGAGATACATGGGACCAGCAGATGCCCAGTGAATGTTTGATAGCCCCCTGCAGACACCTCCGTAATAACTGCAGTTAAGTGGTGGACTGTGTCGCTCCAGTGTCCCACACAAAGAAGATTTCAGAAAGTTTGAGGCAGGGGTTGTTTTTTAATTTAGGCCACTAATCCCCATAGCTTTAAACCAGTCCCATGGTCAGTAACCAGGGACCTTTACTGGTGGACAGAGAAAAGCAGTAATGGTTCAGCCGAGTGCTGATTTTGGGGAGAGGGGAAAAATACCTTCCATCAGGAGATGAGGCAGCTTCTGTAATCTTCCTGTTGTTTTTCATCTTCTGTCTTCTTCCCGTGAGTGTGTTTGTTGCCCTCATATCTTCCTACTTGCTCTTACCTTTTCTCTCTCCTTCTTTTCTTCCCTTAGTGATGCACAATGGTACACGTATTGTCCCAGCCTTAACAGACATCAAAGAGATGTAAAGGATGGGATGTCCCTTTTGTAACATGATAACCTTGCCGGTGTCACTGTGAATATTCATACATCTCCAGGCTGTAGGCAGCCCTGGGGTGAAGGAGCACCTCTCCCCTACTGGCGGTGGGTCTGTGGTGCCAAATTTGAACACAGCTAACTGCTTTGGTTCAGTAATGTCCTGCAGCAGCAGATTTTACAGGTTAATTCGAAGCCATTATGAAGAGTTGCTTCTTTCTGTGCTGCACGTTCATTGACCTTTGATTCCCCCTCTTCCCCGAGTCCTGGAGCAGCAGCTCTGCAGTTACTTTTCATGTAATTTTGGTGCCCATTTCTTGATTACTCCTTGTCATGCCCTTCTTTCCAGCCTAAATGATTCCAGTCATTTCACTCCTGTCATTTCATCGCTGTGGTGGAGGACTGGCCTTTATGTCCAGGTGTTGACCTACAGCATACTCCACACAAGTCACGTAGTGCACCTGTGGTGCAACATTTCCATCTGTAAACAGCTAGGAAAGCAAACGGCAGGTCTTTGGAGAGAGGAGCTGGTGCTGTGCTCTTGTTGCTCCTCTTCCCTTCAGGAGGCTGAAGGAGGTGGTGGGGCCGGTGTAAGCAAACTGCCCCTGGGTGCTTCCCCCTCTCTGTCTTCTCTGGCTTGGTCTGGTGGGCACTGCTGCCTCCTCAGATCTGGGGGGCTGCTGACACCCTTTGCCTTAATGTACTCCCATGCATTTAAGCTGTGGTGGGAAGATCTGTTGGAAATCTGATGAAAAATTATTAACGAGGGTATGCAGAAGACCTCTCAAGCAGTGAACTGGGAATTGGATCAAACTAGGAATTTCAATTGCCCAAAGCCCAAGTGAGGTGATGGACAAATCGCTGGGAAGAACTGTTTAAGTTGTCGGAGTGCATATCTGAGCTCCCAGCCAGCGGGATGGTCACCACATCTGTATAATTTACCAGGCTCTAAGGTATACTTTAAATACATGAATAATCATGGAAGGCAGGGAGCAGGCTGAGCTGCTGCAGCTGAATTTCAGACTCAGCAAAGACAGGTGAGAAGTGAAGCTGAACTGACATCTCCATCTCGTAACATGTGTGCGAGAGGTGACAGCGAAGCCTGAAATCTGTTGTAAGATCAGAAGTGAGTATCTGAGGCCAAGAGTGAAGATTAGGGCTCAGGACATCTTCTCTTACATCAGCAGGCTTTGCTTATTGCAACCAGTTATTTTGATTTCTTAATCCAAATGCCTTCTGGCATTGAGCTTGTGGGATAATAAATGAAAGAATAATTCAGTGCAGTGGGAACTTCACGGTCAGCTCAAATAGATTCAACACTAACACAGTGTGGTTTTCTGTGTAGGTGTAAGACGAAGACAAAGTATGTGGGTACCTGTTGCCTTTGCACTCTTGCTGACAATACATAAGCCTAAGTAGGTCAAACAGGAACAATACTTATTTTTAAAAGCGAACTATAAGCATTTCTAGTTTCTCTCTCTCCCTCTCTTTTTTTTTTTCTCCCCCAGGACTTTAATCTTTTATATGAAGAAGCAAAGTATTACCAGCTGCAGCCAATGATTAAGGAACTTGAGCGATGGAAACAAGAGAAGGAACAAAGGAAACATTTCCAGCCTTGTGACTGCTTGGTCGTAAGAGTGACTCCAGATCTGGGGGAAAGAATTGCATTGAGTGGGGAGAAAGCTTTAATAGAAGAGATCTTCCCAGAGACCGGGGACGTCATGTGCAACTCCGTAAACGCAGGCTGGAACCAGGACCCTACCCACGTTATTAGGTTTCCTTTGAACGGATACTGCCGGTTGAATTCAGTGCAGGTAATGGCCTTTTGGTGCTGGCTCATCTATTTGCTGGGGTGTTTTTTTATTATTTCTTGTTCAATTATATGCAAATTATTTGCTTCTGCCCAATTACCTTCAGTGCTTATACTGCAAGGAGACATTTTCTGCCTGGTGAGATCACAGTCTTTCAGGTTTTCCTAAGTCTAAGCAGAAAAATAGATTTAGATTTTGTGTATGTTAGTGCCATGCTGGTCTCATAATGGTGTTATACTGATAAATGCTAATTTTTTCATCAATGTATAGCCTGCGGCAGTTTTTTTTCCCTCCAAAGTGCCCCCAGGAAGAAAGAGAGAGTTCCAAAAACTACAAAAAAAAAATCTCCACACCATTTTATAGAAAATGCAACAATGTGTAAATGCATAATTTATGTCTCACTCATAATTAAATGATGGTGCCTGCGGGATGGACTTAAAAAAATTGATCTCTGCACTTTTTTTTTTTCAAAAGGATGTTCTATAAAAATTGCCCAGAGTATTTTAAACAAAATGTATTTCATTTTCTACTCAGAGTTTTGACATTAGGTTTAAAATTAAACATATGAAACAAAAGAAGATAACTGGACAGATAGGTGGATAGTAGCGGAAATAAATACATGGCTCGTGTTTAGGCAGCAGCCTTATGGGCAAGAAATGCCATTTCACGAGGGATCACCGCCACTGCGGCCGGAGCTTTGGTGTTGTAGCTGTCCTTGGGCTGCGGAGAAGGAACGGCGTTGATGATGCTGTTAACTTCTGCCTTAATTAACAAGGGCAAAACAGAGCTCTTGGTTTTTGCATGTCTGCCTTTAAAATATGCTGCAAATTACTTGTGTTATGGAAAGTGAAATCAACCTATAGGGGAGTATGTCCAAAGTTACCGTTCCCTGCAGAGGTGCTGGCTGGGCTGTGGGAAATGCCTGGTGCTCTCGATAAACTTCCCTGTGGGCAAATACCCTCAGGAGAGCTGGCCCATGGAACATGCTGGCCAGGCAGGTTGGGGAGGGAGGCGTAATAGCGAGGGAGCGTAAGAGCCCAGAGCCCTTGCTTACCCGTGGTGTTATTACGCAGCAAGCTCAGGCACCCTCCGTCTCCCACGCTGCCACTTGACAGCATTTTCAGGACACCTGCAGTTACCAGAATATGTAAAGGAGGCTGGAGTGGTTTTAACAACCTGCATTTGGCAACTGAGACCTCCCTCCTTGGGGCAGCATTCCCTGGTGCGCCGTGCGCTAGTAGACGCTATTGTCTGAACCCAGCTATTTCTGGTGATTTTTGGTTCAAGACTCCCAAGTGTTTTATTCGGTTGAACTTTAACAGTCCGATGCCTGTGGTTAATTTTTCACAGTCCTTAGCAATTTCACGTTTGGCAAGGTTTAGAGTGGGCTGCCCCAAAAATAGAAGGCTGGAGGTGGGTTGGAGGCAGATGCGTTTGCTGGCAGTGGGAACAGTGCTGAATGCATCACTGTGCTGGGTGGAGCAGGGAGCAGCTGCAGTTTAGCTAAGGTAAGTGGAGAGGGAAGCGTGGTTGTGTCTCAGCCACTCTGTCCATGTGATACGGTTAGATGCATGCAAGAAATTAGAATAACTGAAACAATAAAGGGTCGCTGCGAGCCACTGACGGGCTCAGCGCTGCAAGCAGCCAGTCAAAGTGCTGGATGCCCACATGGCTTAGCACTTGGTTCTGTTTTATCCAACGTGGTGTACTGGTACGAAACGTGTGCTTGTAGTAAAAGCTGAATGCTAATCGTTGTTATTTGAATGTATTTTGAATTCAGTCAAAATTCAGACAGAATCAAAGAGTCTCTTTGCAAGTTCATGTTGTAAAAAAAAAAAAATTCTGTCAAAGAGTCTACAGTATAAATAATATTATTAAATTACATCATTTTACTAAATTACATCATTTTACTATATAATTAATAGAAAGTGTTTTCAAACACTTTCTGGAAAATGATGCATTCCTGAGACCAAAGGCTGATGAAATCAGCGGCTAATTATCATTGGCTCTGATGGACTCCGGTCAGTGCATGGGCGCTGCCCTTCCCAGGATTTTTTGGCTAAACAATATTAAGTCAGAAGTTGAAAGTACAGTGAAGCAAATGCACAGACTTAAGGGAGGTGGGATAGGAGGGGTAGCGGCTGGAAGAACAGAATAATTTCCAAAGAATCTCAAAGAGTGACGCAGTAAGTCTGCCTGCTGTTTGCTGAGATACATCACTTTTGTCT